TGATTACAGACTGAGGATAGGCTGACCGAATGGTCATAACGTCAGGCTCTCATGCGGGAGAAGCGGGTTCGACTCCCGGTCAGAAGGTGGAGTTTTTCTGTCGGGGACAGAATTAAACATCCTAGCCTGCACTATCCGTGGCGACAGCGCTGGCCATGCGGCACTAAATCCTCAGGTTCACGACCCCCTGTCTACCCCCCACACCTAAAGTTGTAAAACAGACAGAAGTGACAGTATGACGGTGATTACACAGACTATATTTTGCATTTTTAACTAGCGATTTACGACACTTTACGAAATGGTTCGGTAATTTAGACCAGTCGGCACGCAATGGGTAACGGTCGACATAATAAAGGCTGACTAAACTTCCTAGGACTACCCGTATGGGTTCCGGGGCCTCTTTGTTAGGAAAACAAGAATAGACATCCTGACTTCCCAAAAGCATGTCGTAGGAGTCGTCTAATTGGGAGCATCCTTCGAAGTCGGAGCACACCTGCCTGGAATGCAAGGAACCAACAGTCTGCATGCAAAAAAAAAAACCAGATCTGTGAAACGAATGTTCCCACAACACTGAGACTATAGAGCAAGGCTAAAGTCCGAAGGTGGACGAACACCCATAACTTTCACAGCCGGTGAACGTGAGGTAGAAGAAGACTTTCCTGGGACATATCCTAGTTCTCATTTTAGAATGGATCCACTTGGGATACAACTGGTACCCATTTTAGGCTGTCTACTTAGAAACCAGCTGGCACCCATTTTAGGGTGGGTTCATCTGAGAGTGAACTGGTACCGATTTAAGGCTGGGTCCACTTGGGAGTCAGCTGATATTCATTTTTGGCTGTGTCTTCTTGGGTGCCAATGTCGATTATTTTTTTTTTTAAATGTAGCCCGGCGGAAATTTAAACAGAAGGAACTCGTGTCTCTGGCCATTGTACTAGAGCTGCTCCCATCCCACACGCAGATTTCACTATCAAATTCTTATCAACTTTGCATAACTCGGCTAACACGAAGAGAACAAACATGAAAAAACAAGTTTCGTCTTGTAAGCTCTCTAAAGAGTGTTCCCTAGAAACTTACCGTAACATGCTATATGTGTCTCCCTGTCAGAGATATAATACCACAACGTCCAGCTTGAGAGTGGGGGTGGAGGCGGTCACTGCAGTTTTCCACTGTCTAGAGAACGCAATACACCCACATCATGACTGTAACTGACTCTGAAAGCATGTTCAGGAAGATCAGGACAGGGGTATGCTTTCCTTCGGAGGTAACGGTTGAAGTCATTGCTTAAATCTTCTCTCCGGGACATGCCCGTGTGTTTCTAAATGAACAGAGGGACAGACTTGATGGCTCTGTGTAACTTGGTGGGATAGTGATGCATGAAAATACAGATGTGGTTTATGCCTTATGGGAGAACGTGTACAATTTGGAACAGCACACTGACCATCACAGTCTGGTGAGATTTAGGCAGAGAGAAATGACGAGGGAATCTGGCCGATACTCGACGACGCTTAGAGGAAAGGCAGGACGGGCATACAATCAAACTGCTACTAGCCCAACTGGTATTGGAACTTTGCTATGGCTGCTGAAGATGTGGATGGAGCGATTATTGTAATACGCAGAGTGCTATGGTGTGGATTCTTATAATCAACTGAACTCCCTGACAGAGACATGCAATGTATTCCACCCAGATCAAATAAATGATGGTAATATTCCGTGTAAAATTCAGAAAATACTTTTTGTTGCATGTCAATAAAAGTAAAACGAAATTAGAATTGATTGCATCGGCTTTTAAAGTTGCTGTAAAACGCGACTAAATGTCCCGTTACCTGACAGACTGACATGGCAGCATTGAACGATGTCAGCGGGAAGAATTAATTTCCACCATCACAAACCAGAAGTTGCATGCAGGAAGACATGATCGATTGTGCCAGTCAACGAACTGTGTCAATGTACAAGTTTTGAGTATTTATCATTCACTTTGGGGGCCGTGGTTAACATGCATGCCTGTCAGTCTGGAAGTCATTTAGTCTAATGTACTTTGACAAGGGCGAATGGAAGCCATGTAGTCGAATGTACTTTGACATGGGGAATGGAAGCCATGTAGTCGAATGTACTTTGACAAGGGGAAATGGAAGCCATGTAGTCGAATGTACTTTGACAAGGGGAAATGGAAGTCATGTAGTCGAATGTACTTTGACATGGGGGATGGAAGTCATGTAGTCGAATGTACTTTGACATGGGGGATGGAAGCCATGTAGTCGAATGTACTTTGACATGGGGGATGGAACTCATGTAGTCGAATGTACTTTGACATGGGGGATGGAAGTCATGTAGTCGAATGTACTTTGACATGGGGGATGGCAGTCATGTAGTCGAATGTACTTTGACATGGGGGATGGAAGTCATATTGTCGAATGTACTTTGACATGGGGGATGGAAGTCATGTTGTCGAATGTACTTTGACATGGGGATGGAAGTCATGTTGTCGAATGTACTTTGACATGGGGGATGGAAGTCATGTTGTCGAATGTACTTTGACATGTGGGATGGAAGTCATGTAGTCGAATGTACTTTGACATGTGGGGTGGAAGTCGTGTAGTCGAATGTACTTTGACATGTGGGATGGAAGTCATGTAGTCGAATGTACTTTGACATGTGGGATGGAAGTCATGTAGTCGAATGTACTTTGACATGTGGGATGGAAGTCATGTAGTCGAATGTACTTTGACATGTGGGATGGAAGTCATGTAGTCGAATGTACTTTGACATGTGGGATGGAAGTCATGTAGTCGAATGTACTTTGACATGTGGGATGGAAGTCATGTTGTCGAATGTACTTTGACATGTGGGATGGAAGTCATGTTGTCGAATGTACTTTGACATGTGGGATGGAAGTCATGTTGTCGAATGTACTTTGACATGGGGGATGGAAGTCATGTTGTCGAATGTGTTAAAATGTTCACATAGGCTAGGATGTCTCATCATCATGTGAAGTGCCGGTAAGCGTCTGTGTCGCCATCTCGCACGATCACCAGAATCAGTTCAATGTTCTTGTTTCGCCCCATCCATCTGCCTTCCTTTTGTTCTGTTTTCATCAATTTGTCCCTCTGTTACCAAGTTCTCGAAACCATTCCCTCGAAACCATTCCTTCCCTTGATATGTTCAACAAATGCTGACTGTCCCTTCAGTTGTTCTGATCAGTTTACGAATTTCATCAGTCTCTATGAAAACTAATTTGTTTGGGATTCTATTCTACTGTACTTTGTGCATTCTTCTCAGAAACCACATATATGTCGTGAATAAATGTCTAGAAGTTATTTTAAAAAATTGAAATAGCAATGATGATACTGACCACACTGTTTTTACCTTTTTCTTTCTTTCGTTCTTTCTTTCATCCTTTATCTATCTTTATCTTTCTTTATCTTTCTTTCCTACCTTCTTAATCTTTATTTATTTTTATTTTTTTATTTATGTATTTATTTATTTATTTCCTATTTGCTTTCTTTCTTTCTTTCTTTCTTTCTTTCTTCTTTCTTCTTTCTTTCTTTCTTTCTTTCTTCTTTCTTTTCTTCTTTCTTTCCTTTCTTTCTTTTCTTTCTTTCTTCTTTCTTCTTTCTTTCTTTCTTTCTTTCTTTTTTCTTTCTTTTCTTTCTTTCTTTCTTTCTTTCTTTCTTTCTTTCTTTCTTCTTTCTTTCTTTCTTTCTTTCTTTCTTTCTTTCTCTCTTTCTTTCTTTCTTTCTTTCTTTCTTTCTTTCTCTCTTTTCTTTCTTGTCTTTCTGTCTTTCTGTCTTCTGTCTTTCTTGTCTTTCTTTCGTTCTTCTTTCTTTCTTTCTTTCTTTCTTTCTTTCTTTCTTTCTTTCTTTCTTTCTTTCTTTCTTTCTTTCTTTTTTCTTTCTTTCTTTCCTTTCTTTCTTTCTTTCTTTTCTTCTTTCTTTCTTTCTTTCTTTCTTTCTTTCTTCCTTTCTTTCTTTCTTTCTTTATTTCTTGATTTCTTATCTTTTTTAAAAATTCTGATCCATACACACCTCCCCCCCCCTTCCACCCCCCCCCCCCCCCCCCCCCCCAAAAAAAAAATCCAGAATTGCACGCTGTATGGTTAACAATGCAAAAAAAATATGAGCGCAAATTTTGCAAACCCCATGAAGAAGAAGTAGTAGTAGAAGAAGATTAAGAAAATATTTATACTAATAATAATAAAAATAAAAAGAAGAAGAAGAAGAAAAAGAAAAAGAAGAAGAAGAAAAAGAAGAAGAAGAAGAAGAGAAGAAGAAGAAGAAGAAGAAGAAGAAGAAGAAGAAGAAGAAGAAGCAGAAAAACAAGAAGAAGAAGAAGCAGAAAAACAAGAAGAAGAAGAAGCAGAAAAACAAGAAGAAGAAGAAGCAGAAAAACAAGAAGAAGAAGAAGAAGAAGAAGAAGAAGAGAAGTCAGCAGCAGCAGCAGCAGCAGCAGCAGCAGCAGCAGTAAATTTCAAAAGAAACCAACTGGAGCCTGTGAAGGTGGAGAAGCAGCGACGCCGCCTACAGCATACGCATCCTACACAATTATGCTGTTCAGGGACCCTACACAACCAAAACATTGGGCTGGGAGGGGTCAATAGACTAAACCTTCTTTAAGATATTAATAATTATAGCAGTAACAACATTGTGACGAAACAAGTAGTGGAATAAACAAATAAAAAAAAGTTTATTATGGCCTGGAGAGAAGGAGGCACTTGAGTGTAACCAGAATGTCTAGCTGGCTCAATACACTCCGAGGAAAGGCCAGACGGACATATAACCAGATTGTGACCGATACCATTAGTATTGAAACTCTGTGCTGGCTGCTGAAGATGAGGACGAGCACGTTTGGGAAGGCCCCGAGTGCTGTGATGTCAATTCTTGACTCAGCTCAACTCTAACAACATTGTGGCTAAGTCCACTAATTCCTGAGCCTCTTATGGTGTAGGATGTGAACATGCCGATACGTATTCTGATAACCCGACTGGTTATTCTTTTCTCTAGGTACAATCATCTGTCCAGCTACTGAATGTTTCGTTCACTGGAGAGACGCCTCTAGTCAGTGTGAGTGGGGACTGAACTTCTCCACTCCAACAGACGCACAGAGATTCAGGGAGAGCTGTTCAGTAAGTATCCCTGTCTATTTGACAGTTTCTACTGTGCGTTTGAATGTCTGGATCAGAAATTCTACTTCTACTCTTACGGTTTAATGTCTGGATCAGAAATTCTACTGTTACTGAAAAATTTCTGGATCAGAAATTCTGCTGTTAGGGTCGAATGTCTGGATCATAAATTCTACTGTTGAGTGTTTGGTTCAGACATTCTACTGCTGCTGCTGAATGTCTGGATCAGAAATTTTACTGTTAGGGTTGAATGTCTGGATCATAAATTCTACCTTTACAGTTGAATGTCTGGAACAGAAATTCTACTATTAAGTGTCTTGTAGATAAGCGTTTTCAGTCATGGTTTAATTGCAGGGCTTCCCAGCCGGTGCTCAACTGGATCCTAAGGCCTCGGATATTACTTCCTGTATGGCTACTTGACCGCCGCAGGATAAATGATACATACTTAATGATAGTACATATGTTAGCTCTTTCAGGTCCAAGCAACGCCTGGTGTGTGAATTAATCTATTTCTCTATTCCCCTAGATCAGTGATTCTCATCTTTCCTAATGCCGCGACCATTTAATACAGTTCCTCATGTTGTGGTGACCCCCAACCATAAAATTATTTTAGTTGCTACTTCACAACTTCAGTGAATGATTCTCAAAAAAAGGGTCTTCGCAGATCCAAATAGCTTGGAACCGCTGTTTTTATCTTTTAGTTATGTTTCTATGTGTTGAAAGTGTTCCAGTTTTCACTGCGTTTTAATTGTCATAACATGCCCAAGCAAGCGATGTCGACGCTAATAGCTTAATTAGTATATGGTTATGGCGGTTCCTTGTTAGACTTCCTCATTCGTTTATGTGACCATTCATGATATCAAATTTTGCTGCCCGCCCCCTTTCCCTCCTTTTCACCCAAGAAATAACATTTGGATGTCCAATCGAAATCTCGTGTCTGTCATGGGGCATACACATTAAAGTAATAGTATCTTCGATGATCATTTGAGAATTTAAGGCGAAACGTTCCGAGAATGAACAACCGATTCTGCAAATGCAAGGGTTTCATCCGAGATGGTAAGTCAACAAGACAAACGTCCGAGATGGCAAGTCAACAAGACAAACTTCCGAGATGGCAAGTCAACAAAACAAACTTCCGAGATAGCAAGTCAACAAGACAAACTTCCGAAATGACAAGTCAACAAGACAAACATCCGAGATGGCAAGTCAACAAGACAAACATCTGAAATGACAAGTCAGCAAGTCAATCTTCCGAGATGGCAAATCAACAAGACAAACATATGAGATGGCAAGTCAACAAGACAAACATCCGAAATGACAAGTCAACAAGACAAACATCCGAGATGGCAAGTCAACAAGACAAACATCCGAAATGACAAGTCAGCAAGACAAACATCCAAGATGGCAAGTCAACAAGACAAACATCCGAGATGGCAAGTCAGCAAGTCAAACTTCCGAGATGGCAAGTCAACAAGATAAATATCCCAGATGGCGAGTCAACGAGACAAACTTCCGAGATGGCAAGTCAACAAGAGAAACATCCGAGATGGGAAGTCAACAAGGCAATCATCTGAGATGACAAGTCAACAAGACAATCATCCGAGATGACAAGTCAACAAGACAATCATCCGAGATGGCAAGTCATCAAGACAAATATCCGAGATAGCAAGACAACGAGACAAACATCCGAGATGGCAAGTCAACAAGACAAGCATCCGAGATGACAAGTCAACAAGAAAAACATCTGAGATGGCAAATCAACAAGACAAACATCTGAGATGGCAAGTCAACAAGACAAACATCCGAGATGGCAAGTCAACAAGACAAACATCCGAGATGGCAAGTCAACAAGAAAAACATCTGAGATGGCAAATCAACAAGACAAACATCTGACATGCCGAGTCAACAAGACAAACATCCGAGATGGCAAGTCAACAAGACAAACATCCGAGATGGCAAGTCAACAAGACAAACATCTGACATGGAAAGTCAACAAGACAAACATTCGAGATGGCAAGTCAACAAGACAAACAACCGAGATGGCAAGACAACAAGACAAACAACATAGACACCTAGTTCAGTCGCCTGAAACAGTTTTATTCTACAGAGCCGTCTTAACCGCATTATTGTCCTGTGTGTAGACGAGTCACTGCAGGGGCCCTAACTGTTGGGTAGCAACATAAACTCTGAACCAAGAAGGGCGTGGCTGATAGGCTGGTCTTGTATTCGCCCCTTTCAAACAGCAATCTTTCACACAGTAGTTTATTTTATCTTTAAGAATCTTTAAGGGAAAAAATATATCTTCACATTCATTTTTAATATTTTGTTACCATCTTTTCAAACTACTGCACATAAATTTTCCTAAAAAAAACCACAACAGCTAAAAAAAAAAAAATGCTGGGGTTGGTTTTACAATGCTCTGTAAATGATACGCAACTACTTAACATCTTTTACTTCAACATCTTCATTGAACATGTTACCCAGCAAATATTTATACCCTCAGCACCAGTGGTTTTAGTGTTTCGTCTAATTATTAAATGACGTGTTTTGTAATGTGCTCAGACAGAAGTCGGGTGCCTTGTCTGCTCCATCCATGCATAAAACAGGAACATTGAAAGCATCGAGTAATTGCTTTTGCGTGGGCTCCGTTAATTTCGCTGTTGATTGTCCCTTTTCGGCTGTAGGGTGTAGTGACGATATTCTTCTCTTGTTTCCTGCGAGAAGGATGTAACATGAGCCACGGCGCCAACATAAAGCAAATCTGGGTGAATTCTCATATTTAAGTGTGTAATACTAATAACAATTTTTATACTTCTCTCCAGAGGCTCTCCAGAGGCCCTTCTTTACTTTAAAAAGTCTTTAATTTTGTAACCGGTCTGTGTAAGTTGTTGAAATTTAGCTTGCAGCCTGTTAAAAATCATGCCCTTGCAAGTATTTCTCGTTTGTTTAAGGGTATTAAACAAACATTTGAGGAGCGTCAGGCCGAACGGTTAGAACGCTGGGCTTTCAAGTGCGATATCCGAGTTCGAATCCTCGGAAGGCTGGGGATTTTTTTTTTTTTTTTTTGTCGGGGCAAAATACAATTCTCACCTGTACATTAATGGCGACAGCACTAGCCATGCGGCCCGTAATCCTCAGGCTCAAAGACCCCCTGTATAAACCACAGAAGTGGTATGACAATGGCAGTAATTGGCCGTTTCAACAAATATCTATAGTATTAATTTTTCGTTATAAAATAAAATTTAAAAAGTCAAGGACCCTTTTCCACGCCTTTAGGAGTACAGGACATATAGGGCTAGACCTATATTTTTATAGACCAATCAGCACACGATGGGTGATGTAGTCAGCATCACGCCGGCCGCCTTTTCTTCCCGGGACTGCACCCGGTACCCACTCAAGGCTGGGTCGACCTGAAAGTCAAGGTCATTTTTGAAAAAAGGCTGGCTCCGCCAGGGAGCGAACCGACGACCTTTCGATTGGCACGCAGCGTCTAGCCGCTAAGCCACGGCGACTCCCATTTTGCGGTATACTGATCATCACCATCGTCAATTCTCTTTACCCCTAATGGCACACAAGGCTTCCGAGAGGACCTTTTATGCTTTCCTGTCCTGTGTAATCTTCAGTGCAGTTTTCCATGTCAGTGATGCCTTAAACAGGTCACTTTCCATTGTCCGTCTCCATGTTGTTTTTGGTTGGGGTATACTAAAAAAAATAAAGGGAGCCGGAGAAGGGATGGGGGGGGGGGGGGGGGGGGCATTCGCTGATTCAAAGCAAACAGATAGCATGCTTACAGTAACTTGAGCAAACTGAGTCAGAGAAACTTTTCAAACATCAAACTGCACTCGTGTCATAAGGGTTTCACTCTCAGATAGTCATCTCCAGTATAAGTATCCTGTGAGTTACGAATTTTTCGTTTAGTGGGGAATAGGCTATTAAAATAATCGCCCCGCATTGCTGTACACAACTGATTTCTAAACCATCCTCACACGTATGTCAGTTACTGTATGTTCTGTTTTTCATGGGTATAGAAATTATTAGACAAACAATGTAACCCACAAATTTACTACTTTCAGAAAACAGCAGCATCTGCTCAGTTGTAAATTATTTAATCATAAGGCGACGTGTAAACATGCAGGAGTTTTCGAGATATTTATTAAAGTGTAGTGGCATGAGTTTTGAAACGTTATGCGGATTATTTCTGCCTCCTTCCAATCCTTTGAAAGTAGTCCTTAGGTCCAGGATTGATTGATAAGGTCTAAGAGTCGTTGCCTATCAGCTGGTCCCAAGTGTACTATCATTTCATGTGTTATTCGATCAGGTGAATGTGCCTTCTTTTTCTTAAGTTTCCCTAATGCGCATTTAAGTTCTTGGGGACTGAAGAGTTTATTCATTATATCTTGCTTATTTTCTTAGTTTTTATTAGTTTGACTTAGTTATCTCGTCACTTCTTGTCTGGCTCGAGACATGAAGATTTGGCTTTCCCCCGCAAAATATTCTACTGGCTGCTTGTTTACTAGTGAAATCCCCCCCCCCCCCCCCCCCCCCCCGCCTCCCCACCATTTTAATTGACAGTGTTGGCATGGCTAGTATGTTTCTCCTCATTTATACTTAAACACCATATTTTTTTTTTTTTTTGGGGGGGGGGGGGGGGGGGTATTGTCTTTCTTGTTGAGAGCTGCAGTCCTTTCCCGCCATTCTGTCCTACGCATGCTAGTTTCTCTCTTCTATAAATAGCCTAATGTTTGTTGTGTTTAGTTACGATGAGGACAAAGGGATCTTGTTCCATTTGTACTCTTGCTTCTTAAAATAGTACGATATCCATAAAAGTAAAAAGTAAAGTAAAGATCCCTTTTCACGCCTTTGGGCGCATCGGGCATATGGGCAGAGCGTCTCATATTTTTTCAGACCATCAGCACTCGTTGGTTAATATGGTCAGCATTACGCCGGCAACGATATCCATAAACAAACAAAAATTAAAATGAGAACATCCGTACATGATTATA